ACTCACAGAGATCCTCCTGCCTCTGCCTCCCGAGTGCTGGGATTAAAGGCGTGCAACACCATTCTTAACCACTGAGCCCTCCCTCCAGCCCCAGGATTTTTCTGTCATGGATTTGTGGGTTTTGTTTCTTTGAGACAGGGTCTCACATGTATCTGTGGCTAGCCCTGTACTTGCTTTATAGAAAGCGTAGCTTTGAACATATGACATTCTTCCTGCTGGACTTACAGATGTGTGCCACCACATCTGGCTTGAATAGCAGGACTTTGCCTGAGGCAAGAAAGGGCCCTTAATAACCTCTATGAATATTTATTTATATATGTTTGTTGTTTCTGAAACAGGATATTTCTTTCTTTTTTGGGGGGTGGGGGAGTTCAAAACAGGGTTTCACTATGTGGCTCTGACTGTTCTGGCACTCGCTCTGTAGACCAGGCTGGCCTTGAAATCACAGAGATCCTCCTGCCTCTGATACCCGAGTGCTGGGATTAAAGGCACGTGCTGCCAACACTACCTGGCTTTAGACAGGATCTTTCTATATAGCCCAGGCTGACTTCAAACTCACAATCCTACCTCAAGCCTCCTAGTTGCTCAGGTGTACAGGTGTCATTTATTATATGAGTAATATGTGTTAATGTCACATAAATATACTATGGATATCAATCACAGTATCAATTATTGTCTATAGCTATAGTTATGTGATTAACAACATCCTGCCATTTTCAGGGTTAATTATTACTAGTGGCTTTTATTTTCTGAGGAACTTCTTTAAGCTAGCCTGAGCTTTCCACTTTCATTTGTTTCTTGTAGTGCTGGGAATAGAACCCAGGGCCTCAGACATGCTAGGCAAGTGCTTTTCCACTGAGCCACACTCCCAGCCCTTTTTGGTTCTTTTGGGTTTTATTATTATTATTATTATTATTTGGCTATTGAGACAAGATCTTGTGTAGCCCAGGCTGGCCCTGAACTAGCTATCTACCTGAAGATAACTTTGAAGTCCTGATCTTCCCTGCCTCCACATCCTGAGTGCCAGGTTTGTGTCACCATGCCTGGCTTGTGTTTAGTCCTTTCTATTCATGTTCTCAGGGAGCACACGATGCTTTGAGGGACATGGGATAACTGGCCCCATTTTACAGAGTATGAAACTGAGGCTCCAAGCTGGGCATGGTGGCATATATCTGTAATTTCAGTAGTCAGGAGGCAGTGGCGGGAGGATTTCTATGAGTTCCAGCCTAGCCTTGACAAGAAGGGGAAGCCCTGTCTCAAAACCAAATAAGGAGCCGGGCGTTGGTGGCGTATGCCTTTAATCCCAGCACTCAGGAGTCAGAGACAGGTGCATCTCTGTGAGTTTGAGACCAGCCTGGTCTAGAAGAGCTAGTTCCAGGACAGACTCCAAAGAGACACAAAGAAACCCTGTCTGGAAAAAACAAAAACAAAATGAATCCCCTCAAAGCCAAATAGGGCTAGGTAGATGGCTTGGTTGGTAAAGTTCTTGCTCTATAAACATGAGGACCTGAGTTTGACTTCCCCAGAGCCCATATATAAAGGATAGGCATGGGAACACGCCTGAAATCCGAGAACTAGAGAGGCCGAGACAGACGGATCCTTGGGGCTTGCTAGCATGCCTGTCTCTCCAAGTTGGCATGTTCTAGGTTTAGGGAAAGCCCCTGTATCGAAAATAATAGAGCATAGCCGGGCCGTGGTGGCTCACGCCTTTGATCCCGGCACTCAGGAGGCAGAGGCAGGCGGGTCTCTGTGAGTTCGAGACCAGCCTGGTCTACAAGAGTGAGTGCCAGGACAGCCTCCAAAGCCACAGTGAAACCCTGTCTCGAAAAAAAAAAAAAAAGAAAAAAAAAGAAAGAAAAAAAAAATGAATCCCCTTCAAAACCAAATAGGTCTAGGTAGATGGCTTGGTTGGTACAACAGATGTTCCAGTGAGGTTAGCTGACCAGGTGGCTGGTTCCCACCATCAATAAGAGAGTTGAGGGGCTTCCATGTGACCTCAGAGGTCTCAGTTCTGTGACTCAAGACAAAGCCCACTAGGCTCTTCCCAGATCCTTAAGGCTAAAGTCTGGGAGGTGTCTAGCCAGGATGGATGGAACCTGCGTGGCCTCTGAGATCAGATTCAGAGCCACCCTTTCCTTCCTTCCAGCAGAGGTTTGCGGGGAAGGGGCAGGGTAGCCAGATTTAGCCCATCTTGGGAGAACCGTCCTGTGCAGAAGGGGCTTTCCGGGGCACCGGGGACTGGTCTAGACTTTCTTTCTGGCATCAGGGCCAGGTAAGGAAAACACCAGCTTCGCTTCTCCTTCCCATCATCCTTTTTCTCTCCCTCCTGCAGGGACACGTGGAAGAGTTGTGGGGCCTGGCCACGCATCCTAGCCGGGCACAGTTTGTGACCTGTGGGCAGGATAAACTGGTGCATCTGTGGAATTCAGAGACCCACCAGCCCCTGTGGAGCAGGACCATCGAGGTAATGGGATGGGAATGCAGACATCGGGGACTGAAGAAATTGCTGCTTTTCGCATCTCAGGGCTCAGCGTGTCAGGTGGAAGATACACGTGGTCTCTTTAAGAAGGGTATCTTGCCAGGCAGTGGTAGCTCAAGTCCCAGCGCTCAAGAGGTAGAGACAGGTGGATCTCCGAGTTCGAGGCCAGCCTGGTCTACAAAGTGAGTTCCAGGACAGCCAGGGATGCACAGAGAAACTCTGTCTGGAAATAAACAAAACAAAAAAAGGGGCATCTTGTTGGGCAGTATTTGGGAGGCAAAGACAAATGGATCTCTTCGAGTTCAAGGCCAACCCGGTTTACACAGTGAGTCCCTGTCTCAAAAGAAAAAACAGAATAGGTAGAGGGGAGATAGTTTCTCTCTGTCTTTTTTGTTTTTTGTTTTTTGTTTTGTTTTTTGTTTTTTGTTTTGTTTTTTGAGACAGGGTTTCTCTGTGGCTTTGGAGGCTGTCCTGGAACTGGCTCTTGTAGACCAAGCTGGTCTCGAACTCACAAAGATCCGACTGCCTCTGCCTTCCGAGTGTTGAGATCAAAGGCGTGCGCCACCGACACCTGGCGAGATTGTTTCTCTTATGTTAGCATGCTCAATGGCTCCTGAAGGTTTCTGGAAGGCATGGGAGAAAGTCCTCAGTCTGTGTTAGGAGCTGGTTCTGAGACTGGGGGGTACCTAGATGGACTTTTTTCTCTTTCTAGGACCCTGCCCGTTCTGCTGGCTTCCACCCCAGTGGCTCTGTCTTGGCAGTAGGCACAGTGACCGGCAGGTACTGCTGAACAGACCAAGTCCTTACCAGGTCCTTTTCCTATTGCTCCAAAGCCCTTTAGTTAGAGCCCCTCACCTTCTAAACCCGCTGCCCAATCCTAAGGGCCTGCTTCTTGAAGTCAGTGCTCTCTCTGCCCACCTATTTGAAATGGCCTGGGCTTCTAAACTTGAGGAGGAGAGAGATGTGGAGGGAGGTGTTGTACATCTCCGCCCATCCCCACCTGACGCCCCC